TTTTAAATCGTGTAAACCACGTATAAACTTGCGTACGACTCATACAATCATCACAATAAGCTTTTTTCATTAATTGTTTTTTTTCAAGTTTGACACAAAATTTTATATTTGCTCTTTGTTCCATTTTATTTTTGAACCATCAGCACACTTTTGGTTTTAATGAAATGGCTGTCACTTTTACAACTGTCATCCGACCTACATGATGTTAGGTGCGTTTGAAAGAGGATGAATGTATCTCTTTAATGTTGCAAATTTTCAATAGATGGCGCTGTATGTTGTATGATTTAAATATAAAGTTCGGTTATTTTTAGGACACACCGTGTATGACATAAATCGTATAATTCTAACTATGGTCAATAAAACCTTCAACTTAATATAATAAAAAAAAAATGGATGACCCGTTATTTAAATGATATTATATAGAGTATAGATTTCTGTAGAAATAATCAATAAATTGAGCAATAAAATATATTATGAAGTCTTTTTATTAGCTTATTTTTTTCTCAATTATATGCCTATATTATTAATTTACATAAATATGTTTGTAAAATTCATTCACACTTCACACGCTGCGCTGAATATTGACAATAATAGTTTTAGAAATTAACATTTCCATCTGAACTTGCCGTCGAAATCAATGCTTTCATCAGATAAAATGATGCAAATGAGTGAATGAAAATTTACGCAAAAATTTATGTTAAAAATTATCACCACACACACAACCACCTACATAACATATGTAATAACTCTAACGCTTAGTTGTGATTTCGTTAAAAAAAAAATAAATAATAAATAATGCATAATCCAAAATCGTATTGCAACAAATTTGCTAAACTTTATTATTATTTTTTTTCGTTTAATTGTCAAAAAATCAAAAAAAAAAATCAAAAAAAAATCAAAAAATTCAACAAAGCGATTCGTGTTTGTGAGCAGCTCAAATTGGATAAGATTAATTTGAAGGTTTTAGAGACGACTTGTGTGAGTTGATAATGTGATTATAATGACAAATGTTGAGGAGCATACAGTTTATGGCTATAGCTACTGAGCGGCATGGTACACATGAATACACGTACAACAATTAGCATATTTCAAAATCCCTCGTTTTATTTGCAAACTAGTAGTTTCTTCAAAATTGTATATGAAAAGCAAATTTGGCGAATTTATCGTAATAAATTTAAAAAAAAAAAAACGCATAAAAAATCTTACAAAAGCCAAATCATAACAAAGGTAATATTTCGAAAATATTAATTTACATACATATATATGTGCATAAATAAAGTTTTCGATCATTTATGTACCGATTACTTGACGATTGCAGAAAAAACTACTGGGCTGGGCCTTAAGTTGTCATCATCTTTAGCAAGGCTGACTGACGGTTTATCTCGCATATTACAGACACTGTAATGCTAGTACATACGTGATGTGATCAGAAAATATTCGTAGCCACATCAAGTTCGGTCAAAGGAGTATGTTGAGTATGTTTTGCTCACTGTTTTTTTTTTTTTTTTTTTTTGGCTGGAATGGCGTGGTCAATAAGGAATACTATCTAGTTATGCGGCGTTTGCGCGAAAGGCATAGAATTTGAAAAAAAAAATAATCATGGATTTTTCACCATAATAACGCCCCAACTCACACATCAATGCTTCTGCGTAAGTTTCTGGCCAAAAACATAACCGTTACCATGTCGAAACTTGGCGCCCGCTGAACTTTTCCTCTTCCTAAAGCTGAAAACACCGATGAAAGGAAAACGTTTTGCTGCGATTGAGGAGGGCAAGGAAAAACTTGTTTCAGAAGTGTTTCGAGTATTAGAAAAAAGCTGGCATAAGTGCATTATATCTGTATATATATATATAAATTAATATTTTTGAACTCCAACTCAAATAAATATAACAAGAAAGAAGAGCTGTCTTAGGTCATGCAGAAGTGTTTATTATAGCTTCATTGTATTTCAGCTGAGAAAAAAAAACATAAAATTTATTGATATGTTATGAATATAATATATTCACCAAAAATATAATTTACTTATTGTAACATTTAACTTTTTAAATATTTATCAAGCATTTGTAAGATGTATTTATTTCTTAGGCAGAAAAAAATTGGGTTAAAACTTAAAAACTGCATTGCAACGATAAATTTCACGTTGATCAAAAGAAATTCTAGCGACTCGGTTGAAACGTTTGCAAATGTTATCGTTATAGTTATTTCGTTTCTACCCTAAAGCCAATTCTGTTGTTAATGTCAAATCGATAACAGATAATGGTAAACGTTAAAATTGAAATGTGCTGTTAAATCATAGCAAGCAATCACTTCAAAACTAACATTAACGATGAGTTTGCGTGGTTCCAGTATTAACTCTTTCATTTTGTTTCGTTAGCATGACACAAAACGAAACAAAACTATTTCGTTATGTTTATTTCTGATATTAACAAACGAAATGGATTCTTTCGTTAGTTGACCATCTTTGGTAAAAATATTGAATTTCATATCTGAACAACACGATAGAAATAGTTTTCCGATTTTAATATTTATTTGTAAATACATATTTAATATAATACATCGTATTTCACGACCTTCGTTACTTTTTTCACGAATTTTGTACCAAAAATCACATATCTGAACAAACCAGTCGTATGATGGCTTAAGTTACACTGTTCCGATTTGACCAGTTCCGACGAATGAGCAATACATTAAAATAATTCACTCGCATATGAAATTTCTTTCAAATACTTCAAAAACTTTGAGACTAGTTTACATTACTGACGGACGGACAAACAGATGACAAATCAATTCAGTTCGACGTTCTGATCTTAAAGTATAAATTTGGATGAGTCTATCTCTTCTTCAACTTGTACTCACATACTTCGGACCAAAGTTAATAAATCATTCCATATTCTTGAAATACATAAAAATAACATCTTGTAACTCGTACGCAACACCAGCCGGCCGCATTAGTTGTGTGGCCAGATCAAAATACCGAAAATGTAAAAATGTATTGCATTGACAGCAAATTGACAGCTGTCGTTCTTTGCTTAAGTCAACAAAGCAACTTTTTTATATTTAGATTTCTTGAGAAGGTACCTAAACAGAATAGATTATTCTTCGTTAGGATCACTTGGATTAAGGGCCATGAAGGAGAACTGCAGCGCCGCCGAACTAGCTGCAGAACGTACGATGAAGTAGATTTTACTGGATAAAAAATGCTGCGATATGACCTAGTCATAAGCAAAATCCTACCAAAAGCATACCTGTGACCTATCTAGTTAGTATGAACGCAAAACTTTTCATGCTGCTGGTCGAGTCTAGTTTTGCTAAAATGGTGCTGGAGAAGGTCGAAGAGATAGATTATTGCCATAAGTGCGCCGATGTTGAAATATCGGCAGCCATTGCTATTTTCAAGACTCAGAAATATTGCTCAAAAAATAAATATACGTACTATGAACTAAGTCAAGTAAGAAAATAGTAAAGGCAAAGTTTTTTGATAGTAAAAAAAAGATTTCCTTTTCAGATCTTAAGTCAGCACACCCTGAGAGTAATTTTTCGGTGTCCCCTGAAATAGAAATAAATAAAAAAATAGAAAATATTAAATATTTTTCGACGCTCAACGCTCAACCTGAGATAAGAAATACATTCAAGCTCCTCATTCCGTGCAGTATCTTCAAGAAATTCCAGCATACCTAAAGCAAGATGCCTCCATCAAGGCCCTACTTTCACCCAGCACAATATGGGCATCGAGTCATCAGATAGATAATGAGTATGATGTCCACTTAGAACAAGTCGTAACTATGAACTCATACGTCGCATTCAAGAAACGGTCTTATTTCATCAAGCTAACAGACTTTAAAAACAAGCAAAGAGCTGCAGAATTGAGAAAATTGTATTATTTCGAAGTTTAGGCTTTAAATTTCTAATAGATCTAGTTATTTAGTTAATCAGTCATGGAAACCTGATCAAACGCATTTAGACCTAGTGGCGCGCTATTATACCTATGTTGAGCCTCAACCTTTGGAACGGTCGTTTGAGAAGTAGCTCAATCTTCTACCATGCGTCCTTTCTGGTGAAAGCTAGTCTTAACAGATACTTTGCCGGATATGCCCACATCATGTGCAGAGTTCTCTTTTTCCTCATTTTTTCGGCCACGCAGTTCCCTGGAATGTCACTATCACTATCACCCAAAACATGGTATACAATCGAGCGTTTGTCTCAGATTCTTTGGCATCTTTTTATCAACTTTTGGCGTCATATGTAGAGGAAACGCAGCGAATGTAGATTGTTTGTAGAGCATCTAAGCTATATGTGTCCGAAGACAGAGATGTTCTTACTTATATGTACATATATAATTGGCGCTTCACAACCGCTGAAGTGATTTTCGATGTTGATCTTTTTCCAAACGGCTGATGGTATGAGGAACTTTATTTCATGTGAGAAATGTTAGAAAGATTGACTTTCGATAATTTTGGATATTGGGCGAGCCAGTACTCGAACCCTGCCCATCAGAATGGTAGTACACAAGGTTAACCACTCGGTTTTTGCGGCCGCAGAGTTAAAATTTGGGGACACTCAATACCTCGGAATACGTAATACAGCGCTTTGACTCTCTTAGATTCAAACAGTCCGACGTAAGCCAATAATTTTCATAAGGCTTCTGGAGGGAGGATTAATTTAATTATCCTTGACTTGACTTCAATGTCCAAAAACTTTTAATCAATAAAATTATATAAATTTTTTTAAACATACATAAAATTATTTCCTCAACTTACAATATAAAATAAAACATACTTCCTATAAATTAAGCACGCGATTTTAAAAGTTTCGTTAACATTTAATTCAAATCTATTGCACTCATAACGAAACACATTTCCATATTTAACAATAGAGTACAAAAACAAATTCGAATGGCTACACTTTGAGCCAAAAATCTGTTGCTTTCATATACTCCACCCATATTTCGAACTCCCCCAACCACATTCCCACACCCCTCCACACCTACTACTTTCGCTTACCTGTCAGCGTCACATTGACGTGCATAAGACCGATATGCGTGCCTATCCGCGACGGCATCTTCTCACGCGAGAACGCCTTATATGGCGCTATAATAGTTGTGTGTGCCACATGCCAAGCAGAGCCCAATCGTGTAACTATGCAAATAAGAGAAGAGAGAATAAAAAATTTGTTAAATAAAATTGCATAAAAATAACACAAAAACAAAAAAAAGCAACTAAAATTCAGCATACAAATTAATGATTTAATGGTTGGTCATTTGTAGACGAAAGAAAAAATTATATTGACGTTAACAAAATAAAAAAAAATGAATGGCAAATAAATAAAGGTGCTAAGCAAGCATAAATCACATGCGGCTCGAGCCGTGCCTTCGCGCAGGCGCCTGCCTGTGTCCACCAGCTGTGAATTTGGTCAGTGCATGGCATGCATGCTCTTTTGTATGAAATTAAATTGTAGTGATACATAAATATTATATATATGTACATATATTAATAGGTAAATACAAAAGTTACTCACTTAGTATGACTAAGCCCACGAACAAGCTGAGAGTGACTGTCGAAAATGTGGTAAATTTCTGGAAAAGAAAAAAAATTAATATTAAAAATAAACATAAGCAAATCAATATTAATAAACATAATAAAAATTAATTATCGAAATAAAATACCAACACGTGAGAAAATCAAAATAAAAAGCGCATAATTAATTATTTAAAAATTTACATTAGCTTGACCCACGTATATGCATTTAGTTGGTGCATACATATGTACTCGTATATAACAAATGTTCTCTTACATTTTTTTGACGCGGAAACCTTTTATCGCTCGATTCAACGTTGATGGCTATTTTATTAATTTTTTTTTTTTTTTTTTTTTTTTATTTGGCTTGCCGGTAATTGGTTTAGAATGTTCAATTTTTGTGTTGTTAAAATTAATTAAAGTCTTATGGTAATTACCTATGCAGACATATAAACAAATCTAACAAATTTTCTCACAACTGCCAATATTCTAATTCACTAGCTCTACGTACTCCGATTACTTCATAGAAAATCTTACCAAGTACCACACCTTTTTTGGCGTAAGATATGTACACATGAAGAGATCGGACATTAAATATATATAAAATTATATATTAAATATATATATTATTTTATATATATGTATGTACATATTTACCTGTTTTCTCACGCCGGGAAATATCACTAAAAAGGCTACGTAAAATGTTGCAAATAAAACCGAGACAGCAACAATGGAAACATCGCCTGTCACCGGTGTACGATTTGGAAATGAATATAGTGTGGGTCCACCGTCGTCACGAAAAGCGTCAAACCAACCCTTCATGCTGATACGAAATTTTTGGGTTCTGAAAAAATTAACAAGTACAGAAATTATAAATGAGAAATGATTCAAAAGATACATTAAATATCATAAGGTATGACAAAAATCAGAAGAAAAAAAAACTCGGTATAGAAGTATACGGTACAAAGTATGGGGTACAAAGTGTAAGGTACAAATTATAAAGCACAAAGTATAAGGTACAATGTGTAAGGTACAACATATTGAAGGTACAAAATGCAAATTACAAAGGATAAGGAACAAAATGCAATGTACAAAGAATAAGGAACAAGGTATAAGGTAAAAACGATATATGAGAAGGTAAAATGGGAAAGTAAAGTGGTAAGGTATAAGGTACAGTTTTTAAAGAACAAATTATAAGATACAATTATAAGGTACAAAGTATAAAGCATAAAGTATAAGGTACAATTATAAAGTACAGAGTAAAAGGTGCGAAATATAAGGTACAAATTATAAGAAATTGGTACAATATACTGGGTATAAAGTGCAAGATATATGTATAAGGCACAATATATAGGTATAAGGTAAAATATATGAGGTACACTATACTAGGTATAGGTATAAAGTATGATGTTTAAGGTGTAAGGAATCGGTTAAAGATACACGGTTCAATATACGTGGTATAAGGTACAAGAAATAGGTATAAGGTACAAGATACAAGGTACAATGTACTAGGTATAGGTATGAGGTTTAAGGTGTAAGATATACGTTATACGGAATAACGTATTGTATATAAGCTGTAAGATATAAAATACATATAAAGTAGAAGGAATGGAACCAAAAAATTAATTGTCGCTGGCAAAAATATATACAAGATGGAGTTAACACTTGGCTAACAAGGAGCGCTCACACTTTACTTAAGCTCTATAAAATATTTTAGAGGAGCATATCAAGCGTAGAAAAGTGCCTAATTGAAACATATATTAACACGATATCTACAATGGTCCTAAACCAGAGGTAAGGTACAAAGTATAAGGCACAAATTATAAGGAACAAATTATGAGGAACAAAGTATAAGGTACAAATTATAAGGAATTGGTTCAATATGCAAGGTACAATATACGTGGTATGAGGTACAATATATAAGTATAAGGTACAAGATACAAGGTACAATGTACTAGGTATAGGTATAAGGTTTCGGCTGTAAGATATACGTTATACGGAATAATGTATTGTGTATAAGGTGTAAAATATAAGATACAGATCCGGATTGTATTCAAACTAAGTTCATTAAGAAGAAGGAATATGATACCTTCAAAGATTTTATAATATTAGAAATAGAATTTGGAATGAAGTAAACATGTAGAAACACGTTTTTTCAATGCATTTGGATCATTGGGATATCATTCAGCTTCACTTTCCGGCAACTCAATTATTTATCTTGACATTTGATGTCTTAGACAGATCATCAAGGAAGGCAACTGTCCTTTATCAGAGCTTAGTTCAACCGAAAGGAAAGCAGTCGCATAAAAGGTGAGAAATAAATTCCCCATTCTCATCACTATTACAGTTTCGTCAGTATATGCAAAAGGAAGTTCCAGTCTTTATATATGTTGCCCCACAACCTTTAAGATATCCTCTGCCTTAAGAGAGTACATTTGACGTGATACATTTTTCTAAATGCACGCTTGCTCAATAGTAAATCATTTGAAAGGCTTACAAATGCGTTATTTATCGGAAAGAGAAATTCACATTTTTCTTCTATGCAATTATAGCCAGAAATCCAAGTGCGTCAGTAGGTTCCGTTTGATCATTTACTGCGCAGATTAACTTATCCCAGTTTTTGTTTTTTTGTAAGCGAACACAGCGTTTTAATTACTAACATTACAGATACCCCTGACTGCGGCTTCGATTTAATCTGCAGCTTTCTGAATATTCGGCTTAAAAACACTGCAATGGGGCTACTCGCAAACAACTCAATAAGCACTACTGCTGGCTCAGGCTTCGTGTATTGAAATCTCCCTTAATGGCAAGGACTCTGCCTGTGCCTCGATCATAGCACATCCCAGGTTGATCTTCACCTGATCTCTCTGACAGAGTTAGTATCTTCCTCTTCCAATAATATATCAAACGATCATCTTACATTTCAATTACCTACTCTCTCCAAAGTAACACTTGTTGGGAGGGGTGATTTTACCTTTTATTTTCTGGCCGGCATTGCTTTGGGTCTTAATGTTAGGCGCAATCGTCAACAGCTTCAAAGTTATGACTACTAACAGTGACATGAGAGCCAAGCCGAGAAAGTGTCAGCTGTTATTTGCTGACAAAAAAATTGATTCGTCTTGACCTCATTCTCTCTTATACCCATTCATATCGCTTCCTTAATCAGCCTGGCTTTCTCTTTTTGGCTCATTCTTTTTACCTTTTTTGACTAGCTTTGCAGATCGTATTATTTTCTCCAACGGCAGTCAGACGATAAAAAATATCCTTGCTTAAGATCACGTATAGTATCGAACGACTCGAGCTGTGCTTCTGGCATTTTCCAGCGTAATAACATTTTCACACATACCGAGTTCAGATATTTCCGATGTAGAAACAACTTCTTTTTTTTCTGCACAAGGCCACTTTAAAATCCACGAAAATTTGGTATATATCGATTCTTTTCTCAGGTGTATCTTCCAGTATTTAACGAGTTGTGAGTATTCAGTTTACGGCAGACCAACAAGCTCTAAGCCCATATTGATAAGGTCATATGAGCTCATGGGTGGCTTTTAATCTTTTTCACAACATACTCGACAAGACCTTATATAATTGGATTGGGCAAGGACTTGATTAGGTAGGGCGCATTCATCTTCCAATCGTCAAGCATACTCTCATCCGACCATATTCTGCAGGGAAGCAGACAAAAAACATTGCCGATACTTCGCAATTGTATTTGAGTAGCTCTCGTGGTAAACCATTGACTCTTGGCGTTTTATTATTCTTCAAATATTTAATCGCTATTCGATTTTTTTATAGTCCGGTGTCTTTTCCTTACCAGTGTAATTAAGTACTTAGCAGAAGTGTTACGTCCATGATCTCTGTGTCTTTTATATATCGGCCGCCAAATCCCCTCTTTGGATTCATAACAAGTACGGTTTCAGGATTGCTAATGTGTGCACTCAGATAGCAGTAAGGCTAGTTCTAGTTGAGCCCTGCTTAGCTTTCTACTAGGATTGCAACTTTTTACCGTCAAACCTTTTTAACGCGCTATCTTCGTTGTTCAGTGGAAAGCGCATATCTTAACTGCTACAACAAGATTGTCCTAATAGATGTTAAGACTTCGAAGGAGACTTGATCACTCGGGATATATCAACGTCTATTATATCACCGTAAAATCGTTTTGATACCATGCCTGTCACTACTGGAAGTGACAAGTGGCTTGATGGAGTTTTTCTGCTAAAATCCGACGCTCCTTCACTCACGCTGAACCTCATGAGGCGGGTCGGAATATGAGCTCCGCCGTTCCAATTGAGATATTTAAAACTACAATAAAATGTTCCATACTCCAGCTGAGTAGCTGAGTAGCTTAGTATAATTAAATTGGTAATCCATCAAGCTGAGCTAAATTCTAAGGAATTTAATTTGAGATTTAGCAGACGGCTGGCAATTAAATATTTGTAAATAGTGTTGTTGTTAATGTTCATAATAGCAAATCAGGGGTTATACAGAAAGGCAAATTTGATGGATTGTGATGTTATGCAACACCGCAATGCTTTGGTAATTAAAAAGGCAAAAATAAAATTAAAAATTGTTAAAAATTCTTCTTAATATTTTTTTTTTTTATTTTGAGTTATTTTGTTAAACATATTTTTTTTTCCTTTTGTCCATAATTTTTTCAATTGCTAACTACATAGAATACTTGACTTCTTTGTTCTTTGTAATGAATTATTGTTATATATGTATGTGTATGTAACCAAAATGTATTTCTGCTTTAACTTATACAATTGTTAAATATTTTGCTTTACTTGTATCCGTGTTTAACAAAACAAAACTGAAAAAAATTAATAAATAGTTTGACCAAAAGCCATAAACTCATTAAGAGTATCAAACAAAGAACAGACAAAAAAAATGGAGAAAATTAAAAAAAAATGATTGAAGAGTTTGCACCGGTCCGAGAAGAAACACACAAAATTTTGTAGTACAAGTAAGTATAAAGAAGGCAGTAGAAGTGTTTAGTATTGAGTGGTAATAAAATGGTACACATGTACATATAAATTGTATAACGAACGAAGCGTGTAGTCCATCGCCTGCAGGTTAAAAGCCGCAAACTCCAAGTTGAAGTGCCAAGCAAGCTGATTTTTGCTTGAGTTGAGTTTGAAGTGACGTCTGGCGTTCAATACATTTATGTATGTACATACATATGTATTTCAGGTAGAAAAGAACAAAGGAAAAACATCGTTGAAGATGGAACTTGAGCTAAAATCAGCAACCGGTTCCAATTTAATTTTTATTGTTTCACATTATACTATATACCTAGCTAAGTGGGTATGTTTAAAACAGACTCGATTGTTATTTATTTTTGTATCTTTTTTTCTCTAATATATAATATGTATGTAGAGAATCGCCTGTTTAATCACGTAAGAACCAGCATTTTACTTTACGAGTCTGATTAAATTACTTGTGATTGACTACTTTTATATGATATTTTTATGTGCCGTAGGTACATAAGGTTTTCGACGTGAAAATTAAATTAAAGTTTTTTTAAAATATTTAAAGTTTCTAAATTAAATTATTATATTATTTATTAATCCAAATTAAATTTTTTTATTTATTTATCAATTTATTATTTTATATTTTTATCCATTTATTCGTTTTAATCAGTTTATTTATTTATTAGTTTATTTATTTGCTATTTATTTATTTAATTGGTGTATTAATTAATTATTTATTTATTTAATAATTTTATAGTTTAATTATTTATTTTCACATAAATTATTTTTTTTTGTTTATTTTTTATTTGTTTATTAATTTAATTATTTATTCCTTTATTTATTAATTTTTTATTTGTTTTTTCCTTTATTTATTTTTATTTATTCATATGTTTTATTATTATTTTTTATTTCTTTCTTACTTTAGTTATTTATTTTTTTTTTTTTTTGCTTTTTTACTTATTTATTTATTTAGTTATTTGCTTTCATTTATTTAAATAATTTATATATTTATTTATTTGTTTATTTACTTTCGTTTATTTATATAATTTACATATTGCTTTATTTATATATATTTATTTATTCATTTAACTATTTATTAACTTACTTTGTTGTTTATTTATGGATTTAGTTATTTATTTCTTTATTTATTGGCATTTTTTGTTTTTTATATTATTTATTTTTTAGTTTATTTATTTTTTTTTTTGTTTATTTCTTTATTTATTTTTATTTATTTTGTTTTATTTATTTATTTCCTTTTTTTATTTATTTGCTTTTATCTATTTAATTAGTATATATTTTATTTTAGTTATTTACATATGGGTTTATTTGTGTATTTATTTATTTACATACATTTAATTAATTTATTTATTTACTTTTTTATTTATTAATATATTTCTCCATTTATTTGTGTGTTTATTGATTAAATTTTTAATTTTTTTTGTTAATTTTTTATTATTAATTTCTTTTTTATATTTATTTATTTAGATTTTTATATTTTTATTTATTTTCTTATATATTGATTTATTTATATACATTCAATTCATTTATTTATTTGCTTATTTATTTGTTAATTTAGTTCTCTATTTAATTATGTGTTTATTTATTAAATTTTTAATTTTTTTGTTTATTTTTGTTTTTTTTTTTACTTAATTATGTATATATTTATTTATTTATTTTTTTTTTATATCTTCATTTATCTATTTAATTATATTTTGATTTATTTATCTATATAATTATGTATATACTTATATATTTATTCACTCAATTATTCATTTATTAATTTTTGATTATATATTTTTATTTAATTAACTAGGTATTGTAATTATTTCTTTATATTTTTATTTATTTATGTGTGCATTTTTTTATTTATTTACCTATTTTTTATTCACTAATTTGTTTATTTAATTATTTATATCTTTATTTATTTTTATAGTTGTTTTTATTTATTAATTTTGTTGTTTATTTCTTTATTTAGTTTTAATTATTTATATATTTTTTTTATTTATTTGCTTTCATTTAGTTAATTAATATATATATTTTTTTTAGTTATTTACATTTTGATATATTTGTGTATTTATTTATTTATATACATTTAATTTGTTTATTTATTTACTTTTACTTTAAGTTGTTTGTTAGTTTATTTCTCTATTCATTTTTAAACTTTTTAAGTTTTTTGTTTAACTATATATTGTATTAATTTATTTTTTGTTTATTTCTTTATTTATTCTTAATTTTTTATATATTTATTTATTTATTTATTTTTTTATTTTTATATCTTCATTTATATTTCTGAAGATTTTTTTATCTGCATAATTATGTATTTACCTATTTGTTCACTCAATTATTCATTTATTAATTTTTGTTTATTTATTTTTATTTAAGTAATTAGGTATTGTAATTATATTTTTATATTTTTATTTATTTATATATGCATTTATTTATTTTTTATTTATTTACCTATTTTTTATTTACATATATATATCTTTATTTATTTATATAGTTGTTTTTATATATTAATTTTTTTTTACTTTTTCATTTTTTTTTTTTTGTTTTTCTTTTTTTCTTTTGTGATTAATTTTTTACTTTTGATTTTCTTAATTGAAAAATAATCTTGGCATACAAGTAGACACTCTGAACGGTCTCCGTGTATCCGAGTGAGAGACTCTCCACATATGAAGAAGAAGACATGTTCGAAATTTTCAATTTATTATACTTTTGCATCCCAGACTCTGTTTTTACTTACTAAAGAATAAAATGCTCACTGCCAGAAAAGAGTCCACAATGTGGAAGATTTATATAATATGTTTTTTCAATTGATATATCAGAAATCAAGCCTGAAAGTATCATTCTATTTGACGACTTGGTTTTAACGACATCAATATGAGAGGACCTGTAAGCAATCAGAAGCAAAACGACCATCAAAAGAATTATATTTTGCGAAATTTACAAAAACATCAATTGGACCCTGTTATGTAAACCCTGTTATGTATTTATGCGAGTATAATTGGCGCTTTATAACCGCTGATTCGATTTCGGGCAAGCTTTTCTTCTAATTTGTGATGTGCCTCTCAAAATTTTACCAACCAAAAAGTCTGTTTGGATCATTGGGATCAAGTAGTCTGTCCAGAACTCTTAAACCAAGTTTCTCTAAACTTTAAAATATCAAGTTTTATCCAGCAAAATATAGATACATTACTGAGCTGTTTTCTAAGAATAAACTTATTGGACTTGTATAAATTATTCTCTACATATCGGCACGGCTTTCTTGAAACAAATAATTTTACATTTCTGACTCGCATTAAAAATGGTTTGTGGGAACCAAAATTTATTAATTATATTTGCATATTTTTTATCAGGTTTTTTTCAAGCTTTACACGTACTCAAATGCTATATTCTGAAGTTTTATTAAGTAAGAGAGCCTCTCTTTAACAAGCTTTTCGAATTATTAGTTCTTAGATTGGATGAATACTTTTTCATTGTTCCACATCTACGTGTATTGTGATCTAAAATTACGATCGAAACACGGCTACTGCATTGAATATTTTCCGCTTAGGAGAGTGTTCGTTTGTTGCGAGAGTTTTTACATATATCTCGTACAGCTTATCGCTCCGTTCGTCACAAAACTCTTCTTTCAAAAACTCCTACTACTCGTTCATCGGATGTTGTCAGAGTCCAAGCCCTCCCAGTATGTGGCAGGACGGTAACGCTGAACTAATGGAGAATTTAATTTATATACATACAGATCTTAACATTTAAATATCAATTGCTTATAAGAGAAGTTCTGAGCACGATTTCGAGGCTGACCTTGTTGGTAGTTTTGCAGTTGGTTTCTAGGTGTACGAAAGTTCAAAAAACGGCTTCAAAAAAGGGGCCTTAAGACTTACTTAGCAACAGCTTAATATAAACACATATGCAGCTACCACAAGCGGCTTTAAAATTGGTGAAGAGGTGGTGTGTATGGTACCTTTTCAGGAATTGACGCAAGGTGAATATTTGCTATATGTTGGATCTATAAGTTCTAAAAGCCTGCACTGCAGTTATAGAATTATAAAGAAGTGATGGAACGTCTACAGTGTAGACTCTACACCATGGTCATCGACTGGTGAACCAACTACATTTGCTCCCACTGTAAAGACAATATATTCTGAGAGTCAGTAAACAGTTCGACTTTTTGATTTCTGTCGGAAATTCCTCGGTTTTGAAAACATCGACTGTTTCTTTTTTCATACAATTCCCGATCATACACCCTTTTGGACCTTTTTGGAAACAAGAAGAATTTACTTTGAGAGTTTTTCGAACGATTTATAATCCTTTACCCAGTGTATACCGCAGACGATGGAACGATGGGCTGACTAGTTATACGATGGCAGTGACATAGTTCAATAAATGAAGAGACGGCTAGTTAAAGTCGTCCGAATGGATGAAAGCACTACAGCTTTGAAAGTATTCGATGCAGTACTCGCTGACGGAAGCAGAGGAAGAGAAGTACCTTCATATTTCGCTTTGTCAAAAACGACGATGCCTACGCCAATGAAGAAGAAAAATACCCTTTTACTGTCTCTTCTCTAGCATATCGAGAATATTTTTACAGCAAACCCCCATGCAAATGAAGACTATCATTTTACAATAACGTCATTGACTAATAGAAATTTCAGAATTTTCAAAACTCGAATATCATCTATTTTGACAACAAGAGAATAATTTGTTAAATTTACAAAAGGCGAACAGCAGCACAAAGTAAAGGAAGTAATCACTCTAGATGAATTATATAAGTGAAGTTAACCAAAAATAGAGTAAGGAAACCAAAAATAAGCCATAAGAATATGAGTGTGTCTAAAAATAAAATCTCACACGCGTCGTGGGTTTTTTGAATTGCTGCAAAATTGATTTTTTATTGCTATTTTTGTAAGTTTAATTAAAAATTTTATTGCTTTGTCATGGCTTCGGCAACTAAGATTCTGAGTTACGTAAAGTCTTTCACGTGGCGTTGTGTTAATTAAATTGAAATCAATTAATACATAAAAGCGCTATGTGGAGTCAGACTAATTACTCACCAACTGTTAGATACATAAATTGGTTTTATTCAACATTTTAGTAGTAAATAGTTAATTTTATTGGAAATTCTTTGTGATTCAAACAAAGCAGAAATTATTTTTGTATTTTGCCGAATTTATTAACGAAATCTTAATTGAAATGTACAACTAAATATAAATAACATAAGCAAATAAATAATATATTTAGAAATAAACGCATATATTTTAAGATATATATTTATTTATGTATGTACATATGTACTTATAATATGTATTCAATTACACTTACCAAACTTGTCTAGAATCTGCATTCAATTATAATCTTGCATGCGAACAAATGTTACTTGTCTCTTTTATAAATATGTATTTATGAATGTCAGTTCATATAAATATATATTATATAGTCGTATGTCACTCGCTGGTAATCTGACGTTGATATTAATTTACTTTCAATGATGAAAATTATTTACGACAAGAAATACTATGAACGTATGTACGTATGTCTGAACAACTGGAGATTTTAATGAAAAGCTTTGGCTTGTTGTTGTTGTCAGCTGATGTAATGCATTAACTGTAAACATAAATACATAATAATAATGGTTAATTATTTAATTGTTAATTTAATTATAAATAATTATATAAACAATATGAGTATTCAATGCACTTAATTTATTTAGACATGCCGCATATGTATGTAAAGGATGCTTTTTTTAGATATGTGGATTTCAAAAAAAAAAAAAGTAAAAAATATAAAACAAGCCTACACCGCTATATCTGAATTTGGTAACGCCGTTTAACTTATACGGCTACGTAAACTGACCTTAAGCAACAAACCTTCGAGCCGTTCGAAAACAAACCAGGCTTCAATGACAACAGCTGTAGGGTTAGCGTTAAGAGTTTTCGGTAAAAAGGTCTTGCATAAGATTTATGGTTCTCTACGAGTTGGGAACGGCAAATATCAGGTGTACAACTTTGCTTCCGCCGTTTTTTTCCAAAATTAGCTAGCGACAACTTTCTCCCATCTTTCCGGCAATTTTCGAATCCCGGCTCGAAAAAAGCAGTTCTCTTTTGACGCTATCCATGAAGCAATCCATTTTTCCAATTCTTCGAAGTATTCTAAATGTTGATCTGCCAGGCCGTGTGCCATCGAACGGAATAGGTGGAAGTCAGAAGGGGCGACATCTGGGGAATACGGCGCGTGGGGGTAGACTTTCCATTTCATCGTTTCCAGGTACGTTTCGATCACTTTTGCGACGTGAGGCCGAGCATTGTCGTGTTGGAGGATGATGTCGCTCTTGATATTGTGGCCGATCTTCTTTTAGCGCGCGACTAAGGCGCATCAATTGCGTTCGGTAGCGATCTCCTGTGATGGTTTCACCCGGTTTTAAGAGCTCGTAGTAAATCACACCGAGCTGATCATCATCTTTGAAGGTTTTTTCTCTTCCACCAAATACAAATCATAACCTTGGCGCCGTGAATATTCGGTTTTGCCTTCGTTGAAACCACTCCCGAAAAAAATTATAAAAAATGTATTCTTGATAAAAATCCGTAGGCCGTTCGGAAGCGCCTTTGTACGAAATGTAAGCTTCTCCATTTGTTGGGACAACATCACGACGCACACCACAATGACTTGTGGATTTTCATGGATCCAAATGTGGCCATTTTGCTTATTAACGTACTCATTCAAACCATAAGCTTCACCACTGAACAAAATTTTCTTGTGAAATCGGTGACCAACTCGTTTTAGGCTCATTCACCGAACGTGCAACGCGCTTAATGGTCCTTCGGCTAAATTTCTTGCACGAGTTGGATTTTGTAAGCCCGCAAACTAAGATCCTTTCGCAAGACCTTCCATATATGGACAGGCACAGCTCCAGTTGTTGCGCGCGATTGTGGAAGCGGTAATAAAACCCATAATATTCTATGAAGTTACTGTCTATTGTACTAGACGAGACTACTTATATGATGGGAGCAACTTCTACGAAAGTCCTTGAAACTCAGATTAATCTTCACCCATAGAGGAACCGCATAGGATACACCTAAACTATTAAAATCTATACCATTCTCTGAAGAGGTGTTTAACACCTTTCTAAACAAAAAATTCCCGGTGCCACCAATATCCAAAATTTATGAAAAATTTATTTAAATAAAAAATTAAGTTAAACTTTCTAATTGCGTTCGTTCCTCGGCAGGGAAAGTCCACACCTCCGAGTGTATTTCGGACATAAAATAAAGGCTCCTCGTAAAAAACCATCAGCCGTTCGGAGGTGTTTATGGAGTTTACTCTGAACACCTTTATATCAAGTTAAAGACTCGCCGACCACTATAACATTTTGTAAGCAGAACTAAAACCCGATAATGGCAGCCGCTGCATGTTTGCTTAATCCGAATACAATATTCCAACTCTTTACAATATGTTCTGGCAACCGGAGTGCTATTAAGTCCCACCTGAAAGGTGGCAATAAAGTGCAGAAACATCTTAAAAAAAAACTCTTGACTGTATACGGAACGTCTGTGGTTTGACCCCTTGCCCATACGGGCATCCCAGGGAACTGTGTAGCCGACGAACCGGCCAGAAAGAGAATAGTTTTTACCATGGTCTACAAAGCTCTGCAAATGACGTGAGCATGCCTCTTTCCTCGGCAAATTATCTGTTAGGACTAGCACTTATCAGAAGTGCCAACAGCAGATGGCAGAGTGAAACCACATGCAAAGCGACCAGACAAATTTTGGCAATTCATCGCAATGATCGACTTAGTTGTGAAGGTTCTGCTTCTAGATAAGACTCCATAAGCCTAACAACCAATGTACACTGTTTTATGGGTACTCGTGGTAAAATACAAACATACATAGGTGAGGATGAAACACTTTCTTTGACACAGTCCAGTTCTCAGTGCTCAGCCCATTATCGTTTTATCGAAAATTTCTTTTTCGAATGTCTTGTAAAGCTTGCATAGGTAGGCATCGCCTCCTTCACAGAACCAACATAAGTATCACAACGGGATACTACGCCCCCCAAACTGTATTTGAGAGTCGGTTTTAAGTCTCTAACATTAATTTTAAGAGACCTGGGAGAAATGGCATGAACAAAAGTTCATCGATTACTCCAGTCTGCAACTTCATTCCCTTTCATTTTTGGGTGTTCGGGTTACTGGTTACTTGAGTTTCTAACTATAGAATATGTGGTAATGGAAAAGAGGATAAATAAATAAAATGATTCTATGCGGAGATGGCAATAAAAGGGCTCTTATGCGCAAACCTATTTTTATTTGTTATACAAAACTTATTCGGTAAAGAAGAAAGATATAAAATCTTCCGAGGAAATGACTTATGGGAAGCTAAACTGAGTTCAGAAAATCCTTGATCTCATCCATGATTTTCATTAAATGATGTCCTATATGTTTGAAAGTGAGTCAACTTTTTGTCAATTTCTCTACAAACGAAGATCAAATCTGAATAGCCATATGACATGCGGTCTATCGACCAGGTTGAGATTAAGCTAGCTCGTCTTTGAGTCCGTAAACCCGATTCAAAGTCATTTATAACCGTTCTAAAATTTGTCTTGAATTTAACTACATTTTATAGCCACTTTAGATGTAGCATGATTACAATGTTGTTGAGACTCGAAGGCAACTTAGGTTGGGAGCACAAAGGTTTCTAACATAATCATAAATTCGTCATAAACAACAAGGCCAAATAAAGAATGATAATTTGAAGATCCAAACTGCAGAAAACAAATCAACTTGAAAAATTACGAAACTCTGTCTGCATCGGTCAGCCATACAAAGACCTAACTTCCTCTAATTTACAACAAACCAGCCACCAATCAAAATACCAAATAAACACAACACAAAAATGTTTATCAGATAAAAATCTGGCCAACAATTCGCAGCAACCGCAACAACTACCAAACGAGTAGCCGATAATGACGAGTTGAAATCGAAAGCGAATACCCAAACAGTCAAGTAATACACGGAAGCACACTTAAAGAGCAGGAAAATAACACAGATTGACGTAATATGCACGTTGGCCGTTGGACTTGGTCTTCAACGACTGCAGCAAGACTAACTGCAATGTGTGTCCATACAATAGAGCTTACATGTGGCGGCTGCATACAAACAACGCAAAGAGTACGGTCTAACGAGTAAAAAAAAAAAAAAAAAACGTGCGGAAAAAGGCGACATAAACAATGGTGAGCAACAAACAGTGAAAACAAGGCAACGCCGACTGACGACACGATTATTTCGCTCCGTTGCTGAGGTGCATAAAAGTGAAAAATGCGCAATCGCAGACGCCGACTCTTCAACGTATCGCCACAAAAAGCACCTCAGCGAACAATGGGCAAACAAAAAACGAAAAGAAAAACAAAAGTAAATAAGCCATCTGCCTAGGGATGGGTAATAGTGTGGGCGGATCTCGATGGCGGTGGCAGTGCTGAGCAATGTAACCGAGACTGTAAACAAAATCACACGAAAAACGTGCGAGCAAAAAAAAAAAAAAAACAAAGTCAATCCAAAAAATTTTTAAGTAAACCAAAAACGAATGCCGCTACGCCATTGTCAATTGCTGCCTGGTGACGCTAAAGACCCGCTGATGGTGCTCGTGACTAGTGAACGCTTTACCAGCAACCGCAAAGGCATCAGCGCAGTCAGTAGCAGCAGTTTTGCGCGTCATGAAAATCAAGTGAACGATGCTTCCGCTCCGCTTGTTGACCAGCTGACAGGCGACGCAAAGAGATAGGCACATTCAGTCAGCTCGACAGTCAGTCACTTACTTAGTCCCTCAATGAGTATGCCACGACAGTCAGTCAGTCAGTCAGTCAGTTAGTTCGGCAGCCAGCGAAACCACATGCGGGCAAGTGTGCAGCGATGCGCTAAGTTAGCCAGCAGCAGCAGCAAAGCAGAAAACTGGTATTGAACGGCTTAAAGTACGACGTTTACACAAAGTGTTTGCGCTATGGGCCCTCTTTAATGAGGCAACCGAAATGCAGTGTTCGGTGCATACATATATATGCATGTATGTAGATATGTAGGCGTTTAGCCTTGCAAAAGTAAATGATTTGTGGAAGTTTAAGTGCATGACTCAAAAAAATTGTTTACAGTTCGAGTTCAGAACCGGCTAAATTTACAACTTGTAGATTATTCTTTCAGGCAATGGATATAACACAAACGATTTGTGCCACAACAGCAAGTTAGTGTAATTCTGCTTGAGATATAAATAAGTTCTAAAAATAAAATTCAAGACTTCGTGCCCCATCGTGTGATGGAAACTTATAAGGGGTCTCCCGATGGGCTATACTTCATATTGCATTCAAGTGTGTGATGTGTAATTCTCGTATGTTGAAACTTCAAGCATAAATATATGCAATTGGGAGGGTAATGAACCTTTCTAGTAAGCAAGGTTTTTCTTTAGATACGAGATATCCAGCCCAACCACAATTGGCTGAGTGTTGATCGCAGATGTAATGAAAAAAAATTTCGGAGTAAATTATAGTGAGTACCCTTAACATAAGCAGCGACCCATTGTGCAATATAAATAATATTTTATGGTACCTCAGAAGTCTCTCA